TGGAAGGCTACAGGTTTTTTACTTGGCATACAGTTACTCTGTGCTAATATTACTTCTTATGTTTGTAATTATCGTGTATGTGAAATTGGTTTTGATTGCCAGGCATCAGGCACGGCGTATAGCGGCAGCTGAGATCAATGCTGAAGATGCACAGGTTCAGCTGCATCGCTCAAATGTCCAATCTCTCAAAACATTTATGATTGTCACAAGCACTGTCTGTGTCACGTGGCTACCCACGCTCATGCTATTGGCTGATGTGGGTCCCTATGTCGTCGTTATGGTTGAAGGTCTCCGTTACAGCAATTCCTGGCTCAACACAGTCATCTATTGCTGGAGAAATGAAACTTTCAGAGAGGTCGCTAAAAAGATCATTTGTCGGACAAGCAGACAGTGAAACCGAAGTCCAAAAGTCGTCAACATGATCCGAATGGCACATGTCTATGGACACGACCTGGAAGACAATTGTTCCTCTTAACTTCAACCACAGCGTTAATTCATTAACCTTGCCAGCTGCTTTTTACAGCAGGTACAATGTTGTTCCTCTGCAAGTCAGAGATGAGGACGGGGGACCGAAAGCTGCAATGATGGATATCATGAAATCTGCGTACATAGCTCACAGAGTACCGCAGATCAAGTATACATGTAATTATGTATAATAGTTCGTGCCAAAAAAAATGGGGCGATGCCTTTCATACCCTTAGTATAGTAACAGAAAAAGAACAACTTGTTGCATAACCCGTACTTCTTGCCAACGTGAAAATTTGGTCCAATAAGTATCGCGAGAATATGAGAACGTGGACTTTTGAACGCAAATGTAATTATTTAGTATGCAATCATCGTCACGACTGGTTTCATTTGTAAGTTTGTTCAAAGGAAGAATGTGTGGAAACGTTTTAGGGTTTACCTTTAATTAAGGTACACCCTTTTGATGCTTTTCTACTCATATTTTTTAAGTGATGATAAAAAAAACCCTGATTCACAACTGTAGGTTTATGCGATAATACTGTTGGAGGTCGAATATTTTCTCCTATCCCTGACCCCTTGGTACTTGTGAAAAATCCTTTGATAAAAATTGAAGAATTCAGGATTCGCATCCGCTATATGGGGACCCATCCGGCCATTCTCAAAAACAGCTGGGGAGCAGGGGAAGTAACCTTTTGGAACTCTGCAATTCTTGGAGGTATTGAAGCAAAAACAGAGCAAAACAGACCTGACATATCAACAAAACCTCCCTAAGAAATATGTCGGTCATTTTTTTTCTCTTCAAGCAACTGCTTCAATTTCCACAATAGCAGATTGCCCCAAAACACCTTTGCAGTTTTCCTACACTAAATCTGTCAAAATTTGCACGATTTAAATATATAGCAAACAACTGGGAATTCAAACACTTTTTCTTCAACTGGCATTGTACGTCACTTGCTCCAATTGTTTGAATCATAATAAAGTCGTTTTGGAGTGATTAACTCGTTGTGCGCGTGTTATCGAAAATGCGGATTTGCGGGGCAGCATGTTATGGAAAAGTCCTTGAGCAGAATTTTATAGGAGATAATATTTTTGAACAAAAAAGTGAAATTGTCAATCGTCAAAATCATTATTTGCCAATATTCGCCGGTGCACTTTTTTATGCTCACACATGAAAGTCGTAGGTAATATTGCAATGCCAAGGGAAAATACCCGTTGTAATCGCAACATTTAACTAAAATCTATATGGCGTCATTCCTTGTTTCGACACGAGTTATCGTGCTGATATGGTGATTTTGTACTTTCGAAGCCGTATCATCCATATTTATTGAGACAATATCAAGATGAAAGTAAAATGTCACAAAATGTCGTAAAAAGTATTTATATTAGTTAAAAATGGTGTACATGTATAAATTTAAATATTTGCATACTTTTATCATACTATAAATTCTTTAGGTTGCAAAAATGTCGTTAAAAGTATTCATATTAGTTAAAAATGGTGTACATGATGTCTTTAAATATTTGCATACTTTTATCATATAAAACGGTTTTAGGTTGCATTTTAAATTCTCCAAATTAAACAAACTGTGTCTCGTCATAAGCCAGTTAGTTGTGTAGCAAGATGTCAACTATGTACAATCCTATGGTATTGGTAAAATTTGTGGCATCATCTTGTGTGATGTGAACCTCTTCAATTTCTATTTCTCGTGTTCAATTTTATTTTGATTGAATACAACATGTACACGTTTAAAGTAGACTTTTGATTCAAAAATACAATTTAGAATTAATGTACAATCAGAATTATAGCAACCCCGAGTGACTATAGTTTGGTGTCAATTATGGGGAAAAAATACACTGCAAAAACTACAGTGTTAAATTTACACCATTGGTATCTATATAGGACCATCTGGTGTTAAATTTTACTGGTGTTGTCCTATATAGATACCGAAAGGGGTTAAATTAACACTACAGTTTTTGCAGTGTAGCTATTGTATTTGTAATCAGTATCACTCTTTGTTTTACAGAGATATTGTGATGGTGATGTAACACTGTATTTTCGTGGTCACATACTTCACCATGGCAATATACGAGAATAGTTCCATGCCACATGCACATATAGGTAAAGTGATGTATGTTGATTGTATCTTAGCGTCGAGGTATATTCAAGTTAATTCTTGTAGAAACGGTTCTGTCTGTGTTTTAAATTTTCCTATTGACACAAACTGTCTCTGGTCATAAGCCATGCAGTTGGCTTATTGTGCGCAGTATATAAAATTATACCACTATCGGCTACATCGTATAGAATCTTATATGTTTGTAAAATTTGTTGCACTTCTTTGATGGTAAATTGGCAATGTCTTAGTCTTTGTCTCGTATTCGATTTTATTCTGCACCTGTATGCTTAGAATTTTAAGCTCATGTAGTAAAATCTGCGTGTGAACTTGTTATTCAGCTTAAACATGTAATCACAATCTCATTTAATTCAGTAAAAACAATCTGAAAGTAATTTTGTAACTTGAAAACTTAGTCATTAGAATTGTTCGTTGATTAGGCTAATGTAATCACAAATTCAATTTCGATGTCTTCAAATGACCTTGATAAAAAAAAGACTGAAACTGTAGCCTGATTTTGTACATAGGGCGATTTTTATATTTGGACTGCAAGTAAAGAATTAAGATTAGTTTCAAACGTGACCGTAAAACGTGGGCGGGACAGCGCTGCATGCACGTGAAAAAAATTAATAGGAGCCCGAAATGGTAGAATCAAAGGTCACAAAAGTTATGTAACAATGTAGGTAACAGAGAATGGTCATTATGTTTGAAACAAATTCACAACTACGCAACAAGCTTGCTCGTACCTGTTTGGATCGAAATTGGAATGGAAAAAGGGAACATAATGTTTTTTTCTAAGCTATTGCGCACCTATTGGCCAGTCATCCGATACAGAAGGAAAATTCTGTATATTCCTATATTTCTATATCATATGATTCCTCCTCCTGATTTTTTTAAATATAATAATGAAAGAACTATTAACGACCAAAATTATTAAATATTTAGTTGAATTTATTCTGCCTTGCTTGTCTGAACGCGACTTTTTTTCTTTTCTCCAAAGTATGCTTAGGCGGCGTTCGAATTACTAATCGCTACGGCTTGCAAAGTATATTGTTACGACTGCCGAGCCATTCCCATTAGCGCTGTACTTCAGCCAGCCGTGTCCGGACGCAGCCTAAAGCATAGCCTTGGTCAATGCTCTCGTCGTTATTCGTCCCGTACGCGGTCAATCGTCGGCATATATCCTCACGCGCTATGCACATGCATGTAAAAATACAAAGCGCGAACAGCGAACTCACGCGGCCACTATTTTTATGCAAATCAGTTGGAGACGATCTCGAGCCTTGGTTGCATTAGTGCCGTGTGTAGAGACACACAATGTGTACGTGTATGGATTATGTACGGTGCCACGTTTCACTATGCAAGTTTCCACGCAACGATCGACCAATAAGAAAACGACATTTAAGGTCAGCTAAGGCTATTAACATAATGAGCACCACCCCCAAAACCTCACATGGACGATTGAACCAAGGCTCGAGATCGTCTCCAACTGATTTGCATAAAAATAGTGGCCACGTGAGGTCGCTGTTCGCGCTGTATTTTTACATGCATGTGCATAGCGCGTGAGGATATATGCCGACGATTGACCGCGTATGGGACGAATAACGACGAGAGCATTGACCAAGGCTACCTAAAGCATGCCATTTCTCCAGTGGTATCGCCTCTACTAGTACATGAGGAAATTGATCACTAAAGCTGCCAGTAAAGTTATCGAAGAGTGATAACGGTAAAGACAGTCAGAGCATACAGACTGTAACATCGAGTTTATACCTCCGGTTCTTTCTTTCAGAACCATTCTCTTGAATAGTGAGAAATTATTCCCACATGTTTCCGCAAACCTCAAGACCTTTCGCTCTTAAGTAATTTCACCAGGCAAAGCCTCAAATCTTACTTTAAGTTATCGGTATCGGTGTAAAAGAGCTTATTTTTTTTATGTAATTTATGAGAAAGCTCTGTTGACCAAACTTGAAGCTATTTACACGGATAATGCTCATGCTTTGAGTCCAAATGTTATTTTAGCAGGTCCGGGATGATTGTCCCTACTTTGAAGAAAACTAACCGCCGTATGTTTTCTACCCAGTGCAATTCAACTTTTTAACAAACAGTTTGTAACAAATGTAAGATAATTCTTAAGGTCGTTGCTGACCAAGGAAGATGTGTACAGTGCACCAGTCTTTTTGCTGTCATTTTAAAGTTTCTTATCCTTTTTTTTTTTTTTTTTTTGCTGTCATATTTTGTATTATATGATGTAAAGTTTATTTTTCAAGATAGTGTTAATTTAAGGGTTTTCATCGCTGTACATGCTGATTGCAGGTTTTTACTATTTTATTGTATTGCTTTTACACCAGGAAAAGAACTTCAGGTCTGTTTTATATAACATGTACATGACTAATAAAATATGAATCTGAATGTGAATCTGCAGCCTACCTGCGCAAGGTGATTGTGTTCCAGTTCCTCTTCGTCGGCAGTGTGTTGGGTAGGGTTCAGATCATCATCTTGATGTACATCATCCAATGCCTGGGTTACTGCAGCCTCTCTGTCCTCTGAATGCTGTTGGTCCTCAAAAGAAAAAGGTTCAACAGAGGACGACTCGGCCCCATGATCGTGTGTTCCTGCTTCTTGTTCATCTTGGGATGACCCGTGATGTTCAACATGACTGTGTTGGTGGGTGGATGCATTATCGACCTGCCCCGGTACCGCCCCACCGAGTTCCCGGTGGTCGTGCCACGCATCACCGCCTCTGGCTCCCAGCCCGATGCTGCCCATGAGCGCCGACAATCCCTCGAAGCTCAGCCTGCCTTCGCCGTCGGTGCTGTTCGCGTTGCCGTACTTATCGAAGAGCTGGTGGAGAAACTCTCCTTGCTCCTGGTGGGGATCCAATAGTAGGCTACCGAGCGGCGAAAGCTTGTCCGCGCGATCATCTTGCGCCTTGGCGGGTTGGGGACTATCTGCCTCCGCCGAAGAATGGGTGATATGAAGGCTAAGCGCCAATGTCAATAACACTGTTGAGCTGATGGATCCTCGTTTCATTTTCCGGCCGACACAGTGTTTTGCAACTCTCGAGTTTATTTTCCGTTTCAACTAGGCCACGACTAAAGTACGAGACAACTAACAATATGCTAGGGCCTTAACTCGTTTCTTGTCCCATTTCATAGTAATTCGCGAAAGAAGCACCTCATCTCAAAGTCCAAAATTGAGTCACAAAAACAAGTTGAATTTCAAAGTCGGCCCACTAGCGAGGAGAACCAGTTGACAAGTCGTAAGTAAGCCTAAGCTTTATTGTTCTTTTGAGACCAAGGGTGTTTGACGAGCCAAGTGTTAGCTTTTTGACAATATGCCCCGCTCTAAGCTTCTTATAAAGGCCCGCCAGCACGGAGCAGTCACTCTTTTTACAACACGGAGCCCTGCACAACCTGCAGCAGCTAGACTTGCCAATCCACATCGTGTTCCCGGTGTGCCGGTGTTAACATACGGAAACAAAGGCGAGTCGTCATAGTCCAACACCCTTTCCGATGATGTCTTCTTCCTAGGAATTTCCCGGGCAACCCATCTCTAATCGCGCACACCACGTGCAGCTGGTTGCACCAACCATCAAGTTCCTCCAAACTTTCCGATTTGCATGAGTCGTCGATCTAGTTGTTTTCGCACGGTTCCAAAATTTAGCGATGTGCCGTGCGCAAGATCTCTCTCCAAAATGGCGTGCCGTGTGGAAAAATGTCATGCCGCGTGTAATACGCATGCGCTCTGCACGAACGGTGACGCTCTTGATCTTTGACCCCACATAATTTATCGCCGTATGCTAGTCTTTACGCCAGTCGTGTCACATCTACGAAGTAGAATATTTAACCAAAATGTGATCAAAGAAAACAAAGATTTGCAAAATATGTTTTGCGCTCCGAGTATTATTAACTTCCATATTTTCATAAAGCTATAAGTGTATCTATTTTGCATTTTCTTTAACAAATAACTCCAAAGTAATGTCTGGTGTGGAGACATCATTTTTACTGCAGTCTGAGATGCAGATTGTTTTGTGACCCCGGAACTGTGTACAAAGTACGTACAAACATATGCTAGCTACATGTACATGTAGATAACTATTGAGTGTATTGTAACAGCATGGAGGAAGGATTAGTGGTAACAGTAACACACTGAATGTGTGGCATGTTAACGTGTGAAAACAAAAGTAAATATTTGTTTTGAGCACTCGGGGCCTGCCGCCTGTTAGTTTCTCTTGTGTCATGATCATGGACAAAAGCCCAGATCAGAAGTTAAGGTTTGCACACCGCACTAATCATGCTAATAAAAGTACTAAAGATGGGGGAGATAACACGGCGGTGGTAAATGGCTGGGCGCGGGCCAAATCCACGGAACGGTGTCAACCACCAGAATTTGGCCACTTAGACTTAATATCATGCAATCATTCGTGTTCAGCTGCTGCGACAGAAGGTACAGCCATGAAGAAAATCCGGGGAAATCAAAACAAAAAGAGTGACCACCGTGATTACGGGAGCCAGCAGCAGCCACCGGCCTCGCCGATTGTCACGACCGGGCTCGCCACGGGTCGTGTCCCCGGTGACTTTGATGCCTACCCGTACCTTCCCTCCTCCACTGATGTACCCACCAATGTGCCGGCCTACTACAGCCAGGATTCTCCGATGCTCAACAACACCACCGATCATGAAGATGAGCCGTTGTTGGACTTGGCTAGTTCCGGAACCGACGTCGACCACTGCCATGCTGCGTCGTCTGGTAGTGGGCCAGACAACACCTCCAACCGAAGAGCGCAGAAACAGTTGATGTTCGCAACAGTCGTCTGTTTTTTGTTTATGGTTGGGGAACTTGTAGGTATGCTTAATAGTCCGAGTAACTTGGACCCAACTTATCGCCTTTTTTAACATTTGGACATGGTCTGGCGGCTATCGCCAGACCATGTCCAAATGTTAAAAAAGGCGATAAGTTGGGTCCAAGTTACTTGGACTAGTATGCTTAATAATGAGTATTCTCCTTTATACACATCATTATTATTAGCAGAACATTAGTAAATATCCTAAGCAAACATCACATGGCTAGAGTATAGTGGTGTTCCCTAACGTGGCACAGTTGACAAATGCTTGAACAAATCTCAGAAAATCCCACATTAACATTAAGAATTTCTGTAAAGTTGATAAATTCTGATAAATCATTATTATCTCCACTCACATTATGCAACAGCAAGTTTGTTTGCACTTCTAAAAACAATCGGAAAAATCATGCTAAAATAGAATTTCTCTGGAACTTTGTAGCGGGCACGTAAACTCAAGATTTATGAACGGGAATGTTTAGAGATCATGGAGATTGATGAAATTTCGCTTTCTGTGAAATTTGAGGTGACAATTTTGCTTTAACAAGGCACGAGAGACAAACAATCAAAGTGCGCCACATTGGGGGCCGCGCCACTTTAGGGTACAACGACAGTAGACAGAAGCAATGTACCTTGTACAGCACTTCTATCCAATGAGCTGTTTTTGCTCAGGAAATGTTTTTTTCATCAGAAGCCATACTCATTTGTTTCATCTTACAGTGTTGACAATTTTGTCAGTCACATTTTTTGAATGATTCATACACGACAGAAGTCCTGGAGACATTTCTTGAATACCACAATTAATATTGTCATTCCATACACCATTTACATGCTTTATTTGATTTCAAATGTTGTACTTCATAATGCACAAGGTTTCACCAATTTAAAATTGTTTTACACATATGGTAATTAGGCAGAATTAGGGCGATCGTGTAGTGTAGGGCCCGGTTCCTATAAGGGAACAAAATCCACTTTAAAATTATTGGACCTACCAAACTAGTTGGCGACATTCTTAATAAAGAGGTATGTCATAGATAGAGGGCAGGGTTTTGATTTTTTGAGGGAAATTTGGGGGTAAAATGACGATGACAGCGCGACGACAACACGCGACCCGAAAATAAAGATCGCGATCACTGCGCGGTGTACCGTGAGCGCGCACGGCGCGCTGAATCGCAAGGCACAAACCGCGCAGCTGCATATTCAGCCACGTATTCATAAAGTACAGAGGCCAATAAACATATATTTAATGCAGATTTTAGCAAAGGGTGTACCTAAAATGAAGGACACCAGAATTATGTTTGACGGTCAGTTATTGAGGACTAGCGGTTGCCAATGAATTATTTTGGTTTCAGATCTAAGACAGCTGATACTTGTCCTGAGAAAATTCATATTAAAAATAGCACTTTGCAGTTGTGCATGTACAACATTAAACCCAACTTTGCGACAAATTGTACCAAACAGTATAGGAGAAGCAGTCAAATTGCCGATGTGGTGGCCTGCCTACACTCTATTTTGGTTTCAGCAGCATGAGATGGATCAGTCACTAACCAATCACAATACAAAATGGTCTTTCACTGAAAAATTCACACATTTTTGATATTTAATTCAGATTTTAGAAAAAAATGTACTGAAAATGCAACACGTCAGAATTACGTTTGATGGTTTGTTTATTATTGAGGACTAGAGGTTGCTTATAAATTATTTTGGTTTCAGATCTAGGACAGCTATGAATTACATGTACATGATACTCGTCCTGAGAAAATTCCTACTAAACATAGCATTTTGCGGTTGTTCAACATTAAACTTAACTTTGCGACAAAGTGTACCGAACAGTATAGGAGAAGCAGTCAAATTGCCGGTGACATCTTAAAGAGTGGTGGCCCGCCTACACTCTGTTTTGGTTTCAGAGGTATGAGGATGATCTTCAACCAAATATTTGAATAGGATTTTGTCGGTTGGTATATTTGGGGGAACCAAAAAAATATGCACGTACTCACATGACTGTGATGGTACTTTACCGTACATTTCGGCACTTTATTGTCAGGTGCAACTTTTTTGTCATTGGTAACTTCTTTGTCGACGGCAGTTATTTTTCCCATCCTTTTAACGGCCCTTGACAGTTAAAAAATACTGCAAAACGCTCCAGTGGCCCATATCAATCGCCGCATTTTAATTTTTACTTGCCAGCTTCTGCGCACAGCTTTTGACTGGCGCGGCACGTAGTTACAGGAGGCATTTTCGAATATCCCAATATACGGTCAAACACAGTTTCAAGTAATCGAATACTAAATTATTCGAATATCAACAGCCCGATAGCTGTGTGGATAAATTCCCCATCCTCAGCACTTCACTGTTGACAATATCAGTGTTACCTTGTCCACCTCGGTGAACATCGATTATTCTTAAAGTTCTCCACATCAGGAACTCACACTGGACAACTTCTTGCTATACTCTGGAGCTAATCTATTTATTGCTACATTCTCATATTCTGGAGCTATACAAAATGTTGTGCACTCTCTGGTGCCTCAATCAAGATTTCAATTTCCTTCCTTACTTTTTATATGTCCCTAAACCATTGTTAGATATCAGCCCCACCCTCGGTGGAGGTGTGACCACAACTTCTCCTTGAATAAGTTTTCCAACTCTTCTTGAGGGTAAAACCACATCCTTAACTTGGATATTTATTGACCACAACATAATGTCCTCTACCACCCACCTTATTCTTCCTAGAATCCCAACACTGGCCAAAGTGGCCTTGCTATGGCTTATCAACCTATCTCAGGTTAATATGTACTTACATCACAATCAGTATTACATCAGCAGTTCCTCATTTATATGCAATCAACTGGTTACATAATATCAGTTTATCTTTGCCTTCAGTTATGTACTTAATGTACTGCCACATACTTTGTTCTTTTCCCACGATATATGTGTGTGTGTGTGTGTTGGGTGTACAGGCATTACATTCACTGTGTGGACTTCCGAACAAAAGATGTCCACATAAACCAGGTAGAGGAGACACTGTGCGGACTTGGGCAAGTCCACACAGTGTTTCCCCATTTCTGGAAAACAGGTTTAGAGGCATTTTTGGGTTAGGTTTATCCGTAGCAGAATGAAGAGAAACACTAAAGGGAATCATAGAAAAAAAATTGGGTTGAAAGAGTTTTCACAGTTTGAGAAAAATAAGTTTTTTCACTGGTTTTTCTTAACTACACGAAAGCAATGGAAAGTCCACACTTGGTATGTAACATAAACTTGTGTGTGTGTGTGTAAGAATAATGTGCAGAATTAATCTTGCTCATCTAAATTGCCCGATTCAAATGTCATTGACTGCTTTAACATTGGTAAGGGTTAAACCTTTCCTGGTGTATAATTTCATCAAATGTCAAACACATTCAAAACTGTAATCAATTTTCCTGACATTTTGAAATTTGGCGCAGTATTGTTTAACTGTGAAGGAAGGACTTTAACCTACTAAAAGGATAAAAACAATGAACCCCTGTCAACAATAAAAAGTTACCGCCGACCAAAAAAGTGGCACCTGACAATAAAACGTTGCAAGTTTATGATAAGGATAAGGATAATATATTTATTGGCAACCGTTAGGTTGGATTACATAATACACAAATTTTACATAAATTTATAACAGCTTAAAATACACATTAAAGAGATTAACAGATGCCAAATTCCACGAACAATGATCCCAAGCTAAAACATAAGAAAATAAGCAGATCAAAAAAAAGGAGATTGCGTTAAAAAACTACCGGTTATTTTCAGGATATAAAAATTCATTTCAAAATTAAGTGCAATTATCTTAAAACTCATTTAATGAAGCTACTGATAAAAAGCTACTGATTAATAAGGTACAATGGGATATGAGAATTTTCAGGCCTATCTGTGCGGGTTCTGATTACGTATACACATATTTTACATATAATTATAACGGCTTAAAATACACACACAAAAATTACCAGATACAAAATACCACAACAATAAAGTAAACGTTACAGTCTATGTGCATTGTTTTTGTTTTCAAAAAATCTAGTTTAAAATAAAAAAAATAAAAATTAAAGGCTAGGAAAAAACATTTAACAAAAAATTTAAAAAACTGATTTAAATTAAAAAAATCTAGTTCAGATAAAAACATTGATTTTATTTACAAATAAATCTAAATTTAAGTAATATTTTTTTTAATGAAAAAACATTCAACGTTTGATAGTGGTATAAATAAGTAAAACGTTTAATAAAACCTTCTTTATCATTAGGAATATTTGTTTCTACCTCCAGGGGGTTGGATCTCAGGGAGTTTGGCCATCATGACAGACGCGGCTCATCTGCTTAGTGACTTCACCAGCTTCCTGATCAGCTTATTTGCTCTGTGGATAGCACGGCGGCCTCCTACGGCCAAAATGTCTTTCGGTTACTTCAGGGCTGGTAAGTAACAGAGTATGGTTTCTATGCACGAAGAGTAGATGGCGGTTCGTGACAACTTTCAAGAACCCCCATGGCATGGGTCTATGCGTACTGGTTCGTGTGTGTATGGTGCGGAGTACACACGATTCTGAAACTGCACGAGCTAGAAGCATCTTCACGTGAGTGCCAGGGTTCGTCAGCAATGTGGCCCCCGGACATCCTTGTTAGTTGGTCCCTGTGGTCCCTGGTCCCTGCTGCCACTGGTCCCCGGTGTCTTTGATCCCTGGTATTCCACGTACATGTATGTTCCAATCCCATTGCCCGTGTGGACATTTAGATTCATGTGGGGGGGGGGAGTTGCATCTAATGAGGGCACATGGCAACGTGAAAATTGTGACATAAACAATGACACTTCATTGATACCCTCCATAAATCTGCCAAATTTTAACCCGATAAACTTTAATAAGCGATGTCTAAACATCCTCTCTACACTTGAGCAAGATTTTTCAAAACATTAATAGCTTCTGAAAGTCATGAGATTCCCAAGAAAACCTTACTTTTTGTTGATATTAATTTATAAAACGGTATACCGATTGTAATTATTAACATTTACTACTGATTTGCAATGCGCTAAAAAAATGCAAGGAAAATTGAAATTTTCAGAAGAATTTCGAAATATCAACAGTGAAAACTGGCAGAGCAAGAGTTCATTGTGACCTGGGGTGAATATGAATTATTCATAAGAAGCTCAACAGTAGAACCATTAGGATGGATGAAGGTCAAAGTTTCGTGCGTGTCATAAACAAGATCACGATTATGTAAATAAGCACTTTTTCACACATGCCCAAAACTAAATGTCCCTTGGGAACATACATGATTCTTGGTCATCCTTTGACCTTGGTCCACTGATGTCTTAGTTGCCTGGTCCACTGGTTTCCCCAGGCCCCCTGCTGTCACTGGTCCTCTGCTTTCCCCTTTTCCTATGACGCCAAATAGATCCTTGTGGGATTCTGAGCAGGGTAGCCCACAGAAAATCAGGATGCTGTGGCTAGTATCTCTAATATATAGTGTAATAAATAATGTGTTATTTTATTGTCGTTTCTCAGAGATCCTTGGTGCGGTGGTCAGCGTACTTATGATATGGGTCGCTACCGGTATCCTGGTCTACCTTGCTGTTCAACGCGTTATCACGCAGAAGTTTGACATCGACGGTACGGTTATGCTCATCACTGCCGGCTGCGGACTTGGCATAAATATTCTGTACGTACATGTAATTCTTAATGATTTACATTAATCATGTGGTAGCCATAATGCATCTGCATGGACAGTGTGGGCACCTCCTGTCATTTACACAGTCCACAAAACATCGCTTAAAATTTGGGTTGTTTCGGCGAGAAACAACCCATCTTGGCAAAAGAAGGTTTTCTGTTTTGTCTTTTGTTTTTTGTTTTTGGATTTTTTTTTTGCCTCTGTAATCCATTAGCTAATTTGGGCGTGGACCATCTGTTGATTCATGCCATAACTTACACCTGCGCACTAGTAACAATAACGCGTGAACGCCTCTTGTCAAATGCTGGTCAAAACGTCATCACAAAACGACTTAATCCTGACTACGATTGCGGACTGTTGGTAACCAGCCATAGAACCTTGCCAGCACTTTCTGAAAAACGAAATTCCCTCAATTAATTCCCCTGATATTTCCAAGAGAAATTTTCAAAATTTATGAGAGAAATATTTTCACCTCAACGAGGCTGCTGGGAAGTTGGAAGGTCATGATGTAGCACAGCCAGTTTTTATAGTCTGGAGAGGTGTGTAATATTCACACTGCATAAACACTAAAAAAGCCACCATAGCCAGTCAGTCAATGGATGCGACTTGGACGTATGGCACAACTCACAAGATATGCCAAACTGGCGAAAACCTTTCCCTTCTGGGTCACACTTTTCCCAGATTTTGTTCGCATTTTTCCCAAATCTCCTGACTTTTCCCTGACTGAAAATATGGAAACTCAAATTCAAGGTTTTCCCTGAATTTAAAAGTGGCTGGGAACCCTGATTTACTTTTTTTAAGTTCTGGCATTTACGGCATGTATCCTTCATTCAAAATAGTTTTGAAATGACTCCATCGCTGCTGTTAATCAAGCAGAAAAGGTGTATGCGTGTTTGGGTACTTACATCGTGATACCGGGATAACAATAAGAACAAGGCAGTAGCCCGCAAGGCAGTCGTTAGAAATTTCAGTGCCCACATATGAAAAGCTGTGGAGATTGCGATTTCGACAAAGGAGAACAATATTGAGGAAGTAAAGGTGGACAATAGCGGTACCATGTAACTACCGACGTGAAGCGGGTCGGGTTAAGCGTCATTCAGTTTATTGAAGCTGGTTTTAAGTTGCTTTTCTTTGGCTCAATGCTCAAACAGAGTTGAAAAGGGACTCTTTTCTGTTTTGTTATGAAGCCCTTAGAATATTACATGCACTTCCTGTTTCGATTGCCGTACAAAGCATGTTGCTACCAGATGTGGAAACTTTATCTAAGAATTGTCCACTCTCAAAGAGAAACCCTTCCGGAAAGATGCGAAAAAGCAAATGTATCTTCTTTTTATATGACGCCACCAAACTGTACATACTATTATCTCTACACATATTCAATAGCCAGATTATGGATGCTTGATATTTGCACTGCCTGTTACCTTTTGTTAATTCTTGAGGGGGGAAAATAAGATAACAGGGGGGGGGGGGGGAGGAATGATATAACAGGGGGGGGGGAGGAATGAGATAACAGGGGGGGGGGGGAATGAGATAACAGGTCACGAGCACCCCACTAAAATAATTATCTTCTACAAGTTGGACTTTGCCCTCGTATATGTAAGGTGTGCTTCATAGATTTTTATCACAGTTTCAATACTGTACAAATATTACTACCAGTGTAGTTTCTTCTTGACTTTAGCATTCAGGTAGAATTAGAAAATAAATGGCATATGTACAGTACTCATGTCTTCATGGCAAGTACCATTTGGTAGTGGTGTTCTTAAGCCCTTAAGCACGGGTTATAATTGGGACATTCCTCCACACATAGAGCAAGTGGCCCGCATGACTGCACAGCCTTTGTGTGGTAGCGGGACTGCACAAAAGCAGCAGCTGTGGAACTACCCACTAGCCTTGTGCCGCAGCATACCACAGCTGGCAACTGCATTCCAATGAGGATTAGCAGTGGAAATATATAGAGTATTAGTACTTTTGGTTATGAAATACAAATTTTGTTGCCAATGCATTGCAGAGTCTAATTCTATCCCCCAAAATAAGAAAACCATGCAAAAAAATCGCAGAAAAAATCCCCCCTCAGCCAAAGCTTGATTGGCTTCTGATCTGTTTAGCATTTAAAGCTATTTGAAATCCTTTTTCTACAGAACATTAATCTTGGGAAGTCAAATATCTAACATACTATGAATGAGTGCATGAGCGGTTGATTTTTTTTTCAATGTGTGTTATAATTAGATCCATGAGCAAAAAAAGAGGAAATTTTACATGATACCAAACTAAACATTCGTGAAACAATCATTAGTGTTTGTGTCTCTAAGCTGAGCCTTTCATCTGTTTAATCCGCTCCGTTCACAGGTACCCCCTCACCGGCAAAGAAAGTACAGTTTGGGGTGACCGAACAACGCCTGACTGCAGTATTTTGCTGCGAAGCGTGGCCACTGCGTGTACATAGTACAAATCCCCTGGTGTACGTGCGTCACACACAAGGAACGGTGCGCGCGCGTCAACCAGCGAAATGTATGTGTCCGCCCATGGGACGTTGTTGCTAGGTAAAAAAGGCGCCCTCTCTTGTTGGCGCATGGAGCCCATACTCAATAGTTATGAGAACCTTGTCTGCCATTTTAGCTTATTGGTGTAACAGGTTGGATTTCCCATTTGATATGGTTTCATTCGGTGCATTAAAACTCCTGTGCTCAGTGACAAGCTGTAGAGTGTTACCCTACATGTCAAAAACTAGCAGGGACAGATTTTACGGTAGCGGGACGGCAAAAGGAGGCCGGCTCTCTATTTAAAGAGGACGACTGTATTTATAAAATGACACTAATAACAATGCTCTATACACAAGTTTTCTTCTGTGGGACTTGAACAGGGAAGACCACCACAAATTTGGGGCATATATTCTCTCTATTTTGTAGGGAGCATGGCTCCGGCCATGCTCCAAATTTATATCATTTTGGAAGGTTAGTATTATAGATTCGTCCCTGTGAGTACTTTAGTGTATAATGTGATCTTTTTGTGAGAATATCATTTTGAGGCCGGATGATTCACGTCTGTAATTTGTAACATATGTAGCCAGCCGTGTGTTGACATTAGACCTTTATCGTTCTATTTTATTGTGCCTTACATTTATCATGGATTATTGCGTTGTGTAAAGAATATTATCATCTTGACTCTTGTGTAGAAATAATGTAAATACAAGTTCGGTAAGCTCATCTCATTGTCGTCGTCATGACATAGGTTCATAGTGTTACTGGCATATATTTTTAGTGGAACACTCGTCCTCTTTAAATAGAGGGCCGGCCTCCTTTTGCCGTCCCGCTACATTACTAAATCGGCAAACTGCCCTCATTGGTACAATTGACCATTTTGAAATGGCTGCTACACAAGCTTTACCTGTATAATTAGTGGTACACTATCTGCCAAACCACTTCAATAGGCTCTGACAGTTGTACAGTTGAATCCATGGGGATTTGTGGCAGTTGGAGAGCAGCCTGTACACAAACTGTCAAGAGCGGTGAGGGTTAGAGATTTTGACAGACTGTTAAGAGGTGTCATGGAGACAAAAAAAGTGTGGGCATTGTGCTTGAAAGCAGAAGTTTACAAAAGTCTAACCTAATGATAAATATGAAAAAAGTAAGACTGCTGCAAACTGCTGACTGACTGGATGGACCTGAAATATATAAATCTAAAAATTAATGTGGCCTGACGTTGCGAACTTAGCAAGTTCTTCTTCAGAGGCTAAAATAGAAATTTCTGTTTTAGCCTCTGAAGAAGAACTTGCTAAGTTCGCAACGTCAGGCCACATTAATCTAATGATAAATAAACACAAAATGCCCACAATCCAGTTTGACTGGGATATGTCCAATGATCACATCATTTTTTAATTGATTATTATTTACCCTAACGTACCTGAATCCATCAAAATCCACACCCCTGTTTCGGGGGATTTCGGCGGATTCAGGATACCTCCGCATTGAAAAAGTTGGGGGATTTTGATGGATTCAGGACATGAAGCCTAGGGATACTGCAGGATTTTGATGGATTCAGGATACCTCCATGTTGAGCAGTTGGGGGACTTTTGGTGGATTCAGGATCTCAACAGATTTACTCCCAGCTAACTGGTGGATTCTGATGAACTCACTGGCCACCAAGTTTTTCTCGCATGGCAAAATTGATGGATTTTGGCGGATTCAGGATACTTTCTAGTAAATATACCCAAGGGGTTAGGGTTAACAGATGAAATACACCTCAGTATTGAGAGATGAGTCATTTGGTGTTTTAGCTGCTGAAGGTTCATTATTACCATAACTGATGGGTTTTTTTTACTCACAGACTAGCAGTAGTACTCCACTTCTCAGGCCACACCCACAGCCACGGTGGCCTGGGCCATGGCCACAGTCACGGTGGTGGCCATGACCATGAAGACGATGACGATGACAGTCATGGCCACGGTCACAGTCACAACTCCGACAGGCCAGAGGACAAGGAAGAAGGCCGTCCGCACAGCATCCAAGCAGACTCCATTAATTATGAAGAGTCCGAGCCGTTGCTGGCCGCGGAAGCCAACGGCACCCTGCCGCAGGTCCGAGCCGTGAAGCGCAAGCATCACAAGCACAAGAAGTCGCAAGGGAACATGAACGTGAGGGCAGCCTTCATCCACATCCTTGGGGACCTCATCCAGAGCGTAGGAGTTTGCATCGCTGCCGTAATCATTATAGTCAAGGTGAGGCTTGTTGCTATGGCAATAGTGCTGTAGTCAGGTCCATCACAAGTCCGATCACAAGTCCATTCACTGGGCCCAAATTTGCACAAATTTGCTTAGCAAAAAGCTTTTTACCAGCCAAATCTCCATGTGATTTTCTTGCTAAGCAAACAACAGCTGAATACTAATCATGAGCAATATACATCACAAGGAGTTTGGGCTGGTAACCTGCTTTTATAAGCCAGACTTTTTTTGTGCTAAGCAAATTTTTGTGCTTAGCAGCGCCGTGAAATTGGCCACAAGTCACAAGTCTGGTCGCAAGTAACGGGAATGTCAAGAACAAAGGAATGTCTTTTCACAAGTCATTTGAATACCTTGTGACTTGTCTTAGGATAGGATGACCTGTGATGGACTTGTAATGGACTTAGCTACACCACTGCTTGGAAGCATTTCATGAATCATTTGTAATGATAACAGGAAAATAATAAAGGAATGTTTCCACATGGACTAAGTGGGCATACTATTGTCAATACTTGGTGCATGGTTGGTTCTTCTCCTAAATACTGCACAGTGGATTTTTAACAGGAGGCCAGGAACACCGGGGCAAACTCCTTCTCTTAGCGATAAGTGTCCCTGGGTTTTTGAGGAATAATTAATTAGCCATAATTCCCAAACCCTTTGACCTATAGTCATGAAATTTCTTGGGTATGTTTATGATGAGTTGCTCTATGCATGTACGGAGTTTCAAAATTTTCCGTCACTCGATGGCCGAGATCTTAGGGGGGAGGGGGCGGAATCCGCCCCCACCGGCTGAGAGATTGTCAAAATAACCCGGCTCTTTTAGGGTTAAGTTAACTCGTCTAGAGACAACTTGGCAGATACCTTTGGCAGAGTTTGGGACAGAGTGAAAGGGACATCCCCAGCACAGTACCTACGTACTCTCTTGAGCCAAATTACAAAAGGGGAGTTTTGAGGTTTTTACCGACCCGTTTTTGTGTAGATGCTTATTCAAGTCGTTCTCCATGCCTCTGAAACTCACGAAAAAAAACCCTTTAAACCAGGAGTTTGGACTTTAGAACAGCATCCACGATCCACCAAGGAGAGACTGGAAGCGAGAATAAAATCAGGCATGTTAATCCAACTCAGACACAACTCCCCCCCCCCCCCCCCCCCCCCCCCCCCCCCCCCCCCCCCCCCCCCCCCCCCCCCGGATATCCATGAGGGGTTGTCCCTTGAAAAGTACGACGATTCCCCTTCTCTGGCTGCCAGGTGCATAGGGAAAGTTTCGCTCGTACCCTCTGTTTGGATAGATTTGGCGTGACCTGTGTCCTGCATGTCATCGCGGCCACGAAAAAAACCCTTAAAACCAGGAGTTTGTGCCACCAAGGAGAGACTGAAGCGAGACTAAATTCGGGCATGTTAATCCAACTCGGATGCAATCCAACTCGGATGCAACTCCCCCCGGATATCCATGAGGGGTTGTCCCTTGAAAAATACGACGATTCCCCTTTCCTGGCTACCTACCAGGTGCGGAGGGAAAGTGGATCACAAGTCACGTGATATAACTGAACCCTGCTGCAGTGAGTGTTAAGGGCTCCGTTTGCATTGGGCGTGCCACTCTTATATTAGTTGTTGTATATACCCTCAAAAACCAATTCTTTCGATCGACTCAATAAAATGATGTCAACTCTTTTGCCTCGATTCGGTTAATACATCATTTCAAATTGTTCTGATTTCAAGTTTTTGCCACTGTTTTTAACTATGTACTAATTAAATCCAATCATTTAGAATGTACTTAATACATTTTGAGGCAAAGCCCACTTGCCTTAATTTTGTAAAGTTTTTTCAACGGCTTCACGTCCCATCCAAAGGACGAAGCAATAATAGTCAAGTGCCTTGCTTAAGGGCACAAGTGTCCAGACCTGGGCTCGAACCCACATTCTGCTGCCTCTGAAACACCAGAGCATGAGTCAACGATGACCAAAAGAACAAAAAAAGAAAAGATTGACAGATATTTGAAAAGCAGTTACCACCGTGCGCTTGGCGCCCATGTGAAGACAGAATAGAATCAGATGAATATTGATACATTAGTTTTTATTTACGTACAAATATAAGTTGTGTGTTCTCCACGCCAAACGTGCATGAACCCGTGTGCACCAGTGTCAAAAGCATTTGAGCTCTCGCGAGCATGCATGCCCACGGTGATCAAGGGAAACATGGGCCAAGTTCGGGCAAGGACCATTAGTCGACTAGTGGTTGATTTGTGACGTACCTTACGCCTGCGCACTGATAGCAACGTGCGAACGTCTCTAGTCAAACGCTGGTCAAAATGTCGTCGCAAAACTTTTGGATCCTGGCTCTCTGCTAGCGTTATGAATGCGCGCAGCTATTGGTTACCAGCGAAGCAACCAACCCCAGTAGGCTGGTTCCAAATAGTCGACTAGCGTAGTCAACCACCGTCGACTAGACAGAGTTCGGGCAAACGTTAGTTAACCATTGGTCAACTATAGTCCTTGCGCGAACCTGGCCCAAGCTGCACACGACCCCTTCAAGTGTGCTCTCTGCCGTAAATTTACTGACAAACTTTTTGAGAATTAATTTCTCTTTGTTTCTTTCTCCTTTAGCCAACTTGGAAGATTGCGGACCCTATCTGCACTTTTGTCTTCTCAATTCTGGTTTTGATAACCACCATCTTGATTCTGCGGGACGCAATCCAGGTTCTAATGGAAGGTATACCTGCGATATCTTTCTTGTGTGTACTTGAACATGGTTCCTTATGGGGTAGAAAACACAATAGAGCAATAGACCCCGCAAGGAAGTCTATAGAAATCTAGCTGCCCCGTAACGGAAATGCTATGGAGTTTTATAACATGTCACCCACAGATTCTGTGTCTTGATTGGCCGAGAGCGAGTCACATGGTACTTTCAGTGCACGACCAAAAGTACTATAACCGTAGCAACCAAAGTACTATACCATTAGCAACCAAAGTACCAAACCATAGCGCAGTATTTGTGTGTAATGCATGCTGGTGTGCGTGCTGAGCATTGTGCGTAGCGCGTATTGTTCCCAAGAGAGCGCGCCACAGAGTTGGGTTCAAACATTTTGTGAAGGGGTGGTTTGGAATAGAGACATACATTTCCCACCAATTTTGTATTGAAATTGAATTTTATTTTAACCGTGTTCAGATTGAAATAATTTAAAATATTAAAACCAAGCAGAATCTGTGGGTGAAGTGTTATAAAACAAATATTGAATGCTTCATCTCGTGGTAAAGTAAAACTAGCCTCCTTTGATGATCCACGGAGCATTCTACTTTCCCTCGGCTTCGCCTCGTGAAAAATAGAATGTCCATGGATCACCTCGGGAGGCTAGTTTTACTACACCACTCGAAGCATTCAATATTTGTATACTAGATTTCAGAAGGAACAAAGGAGAACAAAATCAGGGAAACACAGGTCTTTCCCACAAGTATATGTATGTAAGCAGGGTTCGACTTTAGCGGTAGCCCGCTAGCCAAATGCTAGTCAAAACAGCGGCGGGCTAGTCAAACTATTCCTTGAGTAGCCCGGCTGGTGAGTCAAAAATTTATTGAGCTACGGCAAAGATGAAAGGGCAGGAAGAAATAAATCATTAACTTCAGAGAGCAAACCTAAATCCATTTGTGTTAGATTTTATCAACGGTTTCGGTTATAAATGATTAGATCGGTTTCTTAAAAACACCGACAAGATTGCCTCAGGATACATGTTTTAGATGTATGCACATTGTTGTTTGTGAGACACTCTGTAAAAGAAAAACATGCGGGCTAGTGAAAATGCTGGTGAAAAAAAAAGTTAAGGTCGAAACCTGATGTAAGGCCGTGTGTGTATGGCCGTGAGTGTTTATGATGTAAATCGAGGACACACACATGTGAAGCACCATCAAGTAATCGAGGACAGGAGTCAAATTGAGGACGACCTCGATTAGAAAACGTGCAGAAAACCAATGGGAGCTGTTGCAGAAAAGTAGAAACAGAAGGTCGATGAAGAAGCACAATAGAGAATCCTCGATTCACACCATAAACAAACCTGTCCAGCCCGTGCGTGTGTGTCAGAAGACGGAAATTGTCAAAGAAATAGTTTAATTAACTTTTCAGAATGTAAAATTTTTAACAAAAGCAAAAAAAATCTTTAAACGATTAACAACCAAGGTGCATTTACAAAATGTTGGGCATTATACAACCCCAAGAGTGGTATAACTTTTTTGGCTAAATTTCAAAAAGCAGCGAAAGCATTAGGTACTGAGTAAGGCCAAAAAAAAAAAAGTCTCCGGTTTCTGGTATGCGCGCATCGCCGCAGCCATGCCCGTCGGCAAAATGAAAAAAGTTTTTCTTTCCAATGAAAGATGATGTCTCAAAACCGCCAAACTCAATGGTTTGACTGGAATCCTGCTGTTGCACAATTTTAACCTGTTCAAATTGGGGTTACGATCGAGAATAAGCTTTATGTGGCCTCTCTGGACTCCCATATATTTGCACTAAGTTTAGTCGGGCACCATTTGCAGTCATCAGCCGACATTTGAAGAGAAAAAATGGTTAAAAAAATAATAAGAGCCGCGTCACCGCACCACTTTTTGGGCAAGCTCCATACCAGAAACCGGAGACTTTTTTTTGGCCTAAAGTGTGAATGGATCACTCAAATATGACAGTTCAATCCTTTGTTTCCATAGTAACAGGTGTACGCAGGCATATTGACCTCCAGTTTAATTTCTCGTTCCCATGGTTGCACTTGCAGGAGTACCCAGACATATTTGCAGAAGTACCCAGACATATTAACCTCCAGTTTTATTCTTGGTTTCCATGGGAACAGGCGTACCCAGGCATATCAACCTGAAAGACCTACACATGGACCTCAAAAGTTTACCTCATGTCAAAATGGCACACGGCCTCCACGTCTGGTCCCTGACTACCACCCAAGCTGCGATGGCTGTACATCTATGCATTGGTGAGTCCATTCATTGAATTTGAAAAAGACCAGGGTACCAGGCCCAAAGTTATAAATTGATGTAACCTCCATTGCCTTATACTTTAAGCTACAGTCCATCATTTGCGCATCGCGTCTAAAGACGCATCGTTGGAAATTTCCGTTAGCAGTAGTGTTTTTTATTCGGCGAAGGGCGCGCAAGCATTGACACGACGACGCACACGCGCGCACGGTTGCTATAATTCGTCGGATCAGTGCGCGACATCGCGTAGCTGCAATCGGCTCAGTGTCTCGAACGCTGAATTTGACCCAATTCAGAACATGATTCAGCAACTTTTGATTTGAAATCGAGCTCCAAGAATGTTGCTTTTCTCGAAATATACAGCTGAAGCTGAGCTGAAACTTCATCAGGTTAGTTGTTCAGCACCCTTTAGATTTTGAACACTTTTGTTGCTTCAAATGAACAAAATGCACAAATTACAAATGGCGGACTGTACCTTTAAAGTTGTGTGCCCCGGGCTCGTCAACAAATTCATAATATTTTTTCTCTCGATAAATTTTGAACTTATATGTTTATTCCAACAAAAAAGAAAACCATCCTTTTTAACTTTTTGGGGCATCCGCAACCCTTGGAAACAAACAGATCCGTATTGGAGTAGACTGGCTCCCGGTCCGTACATTATTGATACTGATTGTGGGGCGGGAACCAGCCAATCCAGAGAGAATGGAATTATTTTCTGGCCGCCAATAATTGGAAATGTGTAAAGTAATGATTCAATAACTAAACACGGGCCAATTTTTTTCGGTCATTCAAAGTTAATATTTGTTTATTGCTAACAAAAAAACAACTTCGAAAAGGAATCCTAGTTTGGGAAGATGAAACTCGAAAATAGCTCAGGAAATGCAACTTTAACACACAGTTGGGCGAACCATCAAAAACTTAGAAAACACATTCACTAAGACCAGTTTGTACCCATTGTGGAGTCTGTAGATAAGAAAACTGTAACTTAGGATATCCCAGGTAGCATTTCAACTCTGAAGAATCTTGCTATGTACTTGTGTGTCTTATTAAAAAAGTAACAAAACAAAACAAAAAAAGACACTTTTGGGAGACCTACAGTTTAAGTTAGTAGGTAGAATACTCTCAACACCTACTCAGGTTAATATGTTGTATGTGGGCAATTCCACGGTTACTCACGTTACATTTTTGATGTACTTTTGAGTTTCCTTGGGCTGTAATTACCTTACTGAAAAGGTTTAATAACTGTTATCCCCATGGTAGATAGAGTAGACCTAGACCTACCTAAGCACCAAAGATGACATCCAGAAAAATGTGTTATGAATGATAAACAAGACGCACAAAATCGGTTACATTTTCGTAACGTGAGTAATCAATTTTGTGCGTCTTGTTTATCATACATAAAAACACATTTTTTGGATGTCATCTGTGGTGCTTAGGTAGGTCTAGGTCTACTCTATCTACCATGGGGATAACAGTTATTAAACCTTTTCAGTAAGATAATTACAGCCCAAGGAAACTCAAAAGTACATCAAAAATGTAACGTGAGTAACCGTGGAATTGCCCATGTACATGACTGCATCTAACATGTTGCTTAATCTGATACCTTTGTGGTGTGCTTGACCGGCAGATCCCGGGGAAGATTCTGAGATGATTCTCCAGGAAGCCTCCCAGCTCGTCCGCACCAAGTACAACATAACCTTCTCCACCATCCAAGTCGAGCACTTCAAGCCCGAGGTGATGATGTACTGCGGACGATGCCAGGAACCCAAGCATTAACCCGAAGGTGCTGTTAAAACAATTGTCTGCCGCAGTGTTCACAGAGCTGTGGATGTGCTGCATAGATTACTGCGGCCAATTTCATGGCGTTGCTAAGCACAAAAAATGTGTGCTTAGCAAAAAAAAAAGCGGTTACCAGTTAAAATGTTATGCAAAGTATATTGCATATGACTGGTTCCATGCTGATATCTGCTTAGCACATTCGCCTCGTGAATTTGTTAAGCAATATTTTCAGCTTATGGCTCTGCATACCATTAGCCAAAATCTCCGCTTACTGTAGCAGACAATTCTGTGCTTACGGTAAGCGTATTTCCTGGGTAAGCAAGGAATTTTTGCTTTTGCATGCGTACATCCTGTAACTAAGGATTCTGTGCTTGCAGGGTTAGGCCCCCCCCAAAAAAAATATTTTGTCTCTGGTCAGACCAAAGTTCCAGAATTGACGCGGCCACGCGGCTTTTTTTTTTTTTTCTTCAAGCTTGCATTGTACAGACAAGGTAGGTACTATTTTGCTGTTTTGGTGTCCTCATGTACATTGGTGACCTCCATAATTTGCCTTGGTGCTTTCGATCATTTGCCTTGGTGCAATTTCCCATTTCTTGGTGCTCTTTGGTAAAAAAAATTGAGGAGGTGCGGAAATAGAGGGCGCTGTTGGAGCTACCGTGGAACATTTTTGAAAAAAAAAAGATCGACGCACATGATTTAAATCGACGTGCGCGCTGACCAGAGACTGACTTGTTTTTTTTTTGGCCTTCGCGCAGATTTTTTTTTTTTTTTCAGCTAGCGCTGTTAGCACAGAATGGTGATTGGGTAAGCATGGAATTTTGTGGTTAGCAGCGCCATAAAATTGAGCCTGATCTATGCACTGACAGGGCAGATGTGCGTCATTGCTCAAAGCATCCATTTTGTGTCCAACCCTTTGGAATGGCAATGTTGCAATTCTTCCAGCTCTGTACCGAACTTTGTGCTGCACTCTTGAAATTCATTTCACGTTTAAAAATTTTGCTAAAAAACAGTAAGCCAGCCAAATTTGCTAGATATGATTTAAACAATTTTTTGTTTTAATAAAATGAAACTCAGAGTTAATAAGTATATAAAAAAAGGATATATTATAATTAAAGCTCTTAAAATGAAGTATGAAGTTTTGATTTAATACTGAATGTCAAATGTCCGATGAGATTCCTTTTTTGATCAAAGTGCAATTTTGTCTTCCCTAAAAGATATGTGGAATTATTCTTTCCATTTTGATGCACAGTACCGTTCACTTTAAGTCAGTTATTAGATGACCAAGTTTGTAGTCTGTTTTAAGGAAGTTGTTCAGACAAAAAGTTATAGAACAAATTGCTACGCACATGTTTACATTCACATTTATATTAGCTTCGTTTTGTGTCCTTTTCCTTGCTGTTTCAACCATTTACTTTCTGGTACTTTCTCATTGAAACAAATTATCTTCAGTTCTTTCCTTCTTCGTTTTGTTCCATTTTCTATATTTCCTTTTCCACTCTTTTTTCTCATGGTGTTTTTGAAGGGGGAGGGGGGGTGCTTAAGCCTTCAGCTTGGGTGACACCTGATCAAAATTGAATAGATTTGATTCTAATCATAGAATAAGAGTCACGACGCAACGTTTTTTTATAGGAATCAACAGCCATGTCTGTTCCTGCTAAGGAACAGACTTCATTTCGTGTTGTTAAATCACCTCTAAAATGGCCTGTCATTTACTTGTCCAGTACACTTTTTCTTTTAGGTTTTTGCGAAGTAAATTGGGATCATTGACGGAATTCAAATCGGTTGCAAAAATATTGGAGTTGCTCAAGACTTTAAAGCCCGACGTTTTTGCACACAAACGTTCTGGTGATTCTGGTGATTTAAACAGATTCTGGTGATTCAAATTAAATTAAAACTGATATTTTAACAAACTTACTATACATGTATATTATATTAATGGCATGCATACAGATCATACAGATGCAAAATGAAAATATATGATTTAAAAAGCAGAATAGTATTTTGTTGTAATCCTCGCACATTGCATTCAGCCAAGTATTGAAGCTACGTAACACAACATCTGACCAAGTATTTAACATTTTCATCGGGTTATTTCATTTTGGATGACCTTTTTTTTTCAGAAAACTTTGTGTAATTCAGAGAAGTTTGAAGCTGCTCAGGCCTTGTTGTTGTGGAAAAAAAAATCCATGTTTTTTTTTTAATTATCTATTTTTTCAAGTAACCGATGGATTGTTAATATTGATGACATAGCTGCACATTTTACCTGTGTATAATTAGTTTGGTTACAAGGAAGTTTGGTTTAAAAAAAGAAGAAAGAACGGAGCAACTTTATCTGATATATTTAAACGGACTTGAATATTAATCAACTTTTTTTCAAAGCCAAAGTTACAACATGGTGTCCTGCTGTATTGTATTATAAATTTGAAAAAGAGAAGTCTTGTATATAATGGACAGTAGAAATATAGTCAAACAATTGACTGAGGCATTGTCAGTGGTGTATCCAGCATTTACGGAAAGGGGGGGGGGGGGCACCGAAAATGGAGGTAAAGCCCGAACATACAAGCGGGGCATACATTTTCTCATGTGGGTGAGAATATCTGTCTTTGAAGTGATTAAGTAACCAGTTGACAGCAGAAGAAACAGACAAGACGTACCTCATCAAAAAAATAGGGGGGGGGGGTGCCACTGGCTGCGCCCCCCCCCCCTTCTCTGAATCCCCTACTTATTGTGGTTGTAAAATTAATCTAACTGGACTGACATTCAAGATTCAATTTTGATCCCAAAAGGCCAGTATTTCTTCCTTCCTTACCATCTTTAAATTTAGCCTTGTACCAATAAGAACAGGAAAAATAAATAATTTCTTTCTTTTTGGGGGGAGGGGGGGTTGTCAACTCAAGCCAAACTAATATATAGATACTTCCTGTCTATATGCTTCACCCTCCCCCATTCTGTGCACAAATATTGTATTGCTGGCTGGAGCTCATCAAATATAGCAAATCTCCACTAATGTTAAAGAGCGCCCTCTTGTGTCCATCAGATCAGGATTTTTTTCTCTCGTACGATTAGAGTACATGTATCTATCCGAAAATTATTTGAAACCAACTCTTAATAGGTTTTCGTAGTTAAAGTTTATAAACTATTTAAGTGTAGTCAACATATAATTACTGATATCTTTTGTCAATTTCACTTAATTCACAACTCGTCAATTACAAATATTTAAATTTAATTATTTATAAGTGGATGTCTTGTATATTTTTGATTAGTCCTAAACTGTGATTTATTTGTTAAGCATTCAGCAATAACCAGACCTATGCAGGATCCTGAATATTTTTTTTTTATATAAGCAGCTGTACAAAATTTCGTAATCGTGGTAGTAGTCGCAGCTTTGTATCATCAACCTTGACCCATATTGGGACCAACAATCCCAGCCAGAATGGTTTGGACACGTCCACACAAGCATACCCTTGGCCCCAATACAGTCCCCCGCTCCCCTGAGTCAAAGGTGTCATCTCGTACTTGAGCACAGACCCACCATGAGAGACAACATTGGCCGGGGGCCGGGGTGGGGGCCGAGCGAGCTTTGGCCGGGATTGTAGGTACATGTACATTTTGTTTTGCTTTTACTGTATTTCAACAATGATTATTCAGTGACAGAAATTATTCAGTGAGTTTGACTGGCTGTGAGCATGCATTAAGGTTTATTTGAGGTTTATTTGAATTTACAGTTGCTGGCCTTCAAACTGTTGGTGACGTTGGTCAGTGTGATTCATTCCAGCACTCGTTTGTTTCATTATTTTGTGGTGCGCGACCTTTTAAATATAAAGCCGTCTTTCTTGATATTGAAATTATGATTTGCGGGATCCGAATGCTAATTATACAAGTCTGTCCAATAAGGTAATGTTTATTTAAGGAAAAAGAACTCGTAATGTGGATCAATTATTTTTATATCTTGTAAATTCTGTAACCATTATTAATTTGAGGATATTTTATAAAAACGAAATTATATCCAAAGAACCTGAATAAAAACTCAAATTGATTCAGTGATACTTAGTTGTGATTGTTTTTTTTTTTTTAGTTGTTTGTTTTTGTGTAAAGATGCAAACCCCCTTTTCTTCAAAACGTGGATTTTTTTTTCAGTTTGTACTATTTGTTTTAACGAACAAAAATACTTCTCTAAAAAAGAGGGCTTTCATTTTGTGCCGCCCCTCGAGAGCCTAATTATTGTGAGGCAGCCAATTCCAATTTTGAAAAAAAACCGCATTTTTTTCTATGATTCCCTTTAATTTTTCTCTTCATTTTGCCACAAATAAACCTAACCCCTAAAATGCCTCTAAACCTGTTTTTACCTCTAAACCTGTCCACACAACGTCGCTGGTAGTCCGGCGAAACCCGGAATATTGGACGCAATTATATTCAAAATACAGTCCTTGGAAAGTGCCCACGGTAAAATCGTTTTTCTTTCAACGTAGCTTTCGTTGTCTCATTCAAAAGTGATTTTTTTTTTATATTGCAGTTAATTCATTTTTTGTTTGGCGAAACTCGAAAACAGCACAGGGAATAATACATCATTAACTTTTAGCGCGTGATATAATTGGGTTCAAATTCATACAAATTTTGAAATCTATGATGCTAATTCTCCTGATTCTAAGGCAATTTGAAAATAAATTGAGGAGCTTTAGAATTCCATTGATTATTTTGGCCCCATTTATAACATTAATCTGGGGGGGGGGTGCCATCCCCAAGCCCCGCCCATAGATCAGACGCTATCCTCGTTCCACAAAAATATTGCTAGATTCTCACAAAGTGAAGATTCTCTTTTTAAATTCTTGGACTCGTCGGAATCGAGTGATTGCAAAACATTCAGCAATACTATCAGCTTCGGTCCAAAAAGTTGGGCCACCGGTATCAAAATGATCGAAAAGTGCAATGTTCATAGCGATTTTGGCAAGGTATACACATCTAGAATTGGAAAATGGGTGATAGATTTGTAATGTAAGCGGTGGCAGTCTTTTGGGTGTTATCACTTTTAATTTTTTTTTCTCAAAATGGCCGCCAATATGCTTGAACCGGATTAATGTGGTAACAAGCATGTTTTGGCTGCCACTTTTTTGTGATAGCATCCAAAAACTGCCACCGCTGCAATGCTATCGAGTAGTTTCTAACCACAGGGGTGCATACCGTGCCAAAATCCCCTCATTTAAAACAGCAAGTATTACCAAAGTGAATCAATTGATACCGACCAGACCATCTGGCTGCATGGCCTACCGATCTCTTTTAGGTAGTCTGTTTCCAGCGAAACCCGGACTATTGGACGCAATTATGTTCAAAATAGAAGTCCTTGTTGGTAAGTGCCCACGGTAAAATCGTTTTTCTTTACAGTTTTCTCATGAAAAACGTGAGCACCCAATTCGCATCGGTCAATTTGTTACCTTTGACTAGAAGGCTTTTTGTAAGACGGAGAAATCAATGACTTGATTAAAAAAAACACCTTTATTGAAATACCCACAACATCCCACCCACGCCCTGTTTACCCCATTGAGGCGCTGACATTGACATTTTGCAAGCATTGATCGCCATTGTTTCTCCCGTCCTCCGTTGGATACTTATACCCAGGATACTTAATTAAAGAGAATTTGCCACCATTTCGAATTGATTTTGTTAGTTCAATGATATTTTAATATGTCTCATCGTCCCTCGTTCCCTGAATAGAGGGCGGGCTTCAAATATTGCCACGGGAAGTTTGAATTAACCACTTGCCAAAGATTGCATGTAGACTCGAATCAAGTCTGGTTTTTTTATGACCAGGGGCGTGAATCCTAAGGTTGGGACGGTATAGCCATCCACATTCACACGTACAGCAGTTTTATTTTTCATTCATTAAAACAAAAAGAAATACAAACGTGAAACGTGAGCAATCCAGTACTCATGTAGCAATCCAGTACTCATGTGGGCAAAAATTCATGAAAATGGCACTTGTCCCCCTCCGTTTCTGGAAACGACGTTGAATACGTCTGTGAGTTGCCATCTACGAAATAGCGGGACCAGACTTGAAGGGAGACTATAGTGACCCTAAACATAAGCGCAAGCTCGGCCGGTCCAGGTTGACCGTTTTAGCCGAATTTCGGCTAAACTTGACAGAATTTTTTTTGAAAAAAAAAAACGAGTTTGACAGAAAATTTAGCAGAATGAATTTTTAGCAGATTTCTAGCAGAATTCTGTAAAATTGGTGATTTGACAGAAAACTAGGGCAGATTTGAAAATATAGCTGATTTAGTTTGAAAAAGCTTCAAGTTGAGGTTCCCTGACGTGTATTAGTACACAGTAAAGTACTTTAGACAGTGTTCAAAACCATTGCAAGCCAGGCTAGACACATGCAAATTAAAAAAAAATAAGTAATAATAATTCAATTTTTTTAAAGAAAATTTTATGATTTTTGTTTTGTTTAAGGACATTTTATAACATCTGCACGTGAGTATAGGTGTTTATAATGTATTTCGTGTAGTAATACATGTAGGTGATTTAGCAGATTTTTGTTAAATCTGACAGATTTTTTTGAAGCGCATCTAGCCGAATCTTGCCATTACCTTACGGTCACCCTGGGCCGGTCATGCAGTGATGTGCTAGTGAGTGAAAGTGCTTCGCCTCGCTCATGCATCGCGTCTCTCTATGGCATGCAATCGATGGCATAGAAAACGTGTTGCACAATAAATATTGCATGCAGTGGTGTATTTCAATTCATGTACATGTACATGTACTGTGTACATTGCAATATTGTATACTGCCGTCACTCACAATATAGCACGCAAGCGAAGCAGGCCAGGATGTGTGTGTGAATATAGGCGGTAGGTCTTCCGGTTTGCCTTTCTAAATTAGATCGTCACTTTGACTAAGATTAAACGAGGCCTGGGTATACAAGATGCATTTTGACGAAATATTGGAGCACGTCGGCACGTTTGGTCGCTACCAGAAGCTGACCTTCTTGATCGTGTGTTTGATGGCCGTGCCGATGAGCTACCACCAACTCGCCCAGGTCTTTCTGGCACCGGATACCGATCACTGGTGCGCTGTGCCCGAACTCCTAGAGCCTAACTGCAGCGCTTTGGCCGGTGCCGGTCCGCCGGACTCGACGGCCTACTCCCGGTGCATGGAGGCCCGCAAGAACATATCCATACCGAGGAAAAAGGGAAAGTTCTTGCAGTGCTACCGGTATGTCTTAGATGCCAATGATGACGTGTCGGGTGCAGCGGGTGATGGGTACATCAATGAGACGATCAAGACGAGCTCGAATAAGACTATGAAATGCGACGCAGGCTGGGAATACGATCGCTCCCAGTATCATACGACCGTCGTCCAAGACGTAGGTAGAATTAATATTCACTGATCAGGGGACCTAATAATGATCTCATTATTTATTCCATGTTGCATTTTCTAGCGTCAGAGAGCATGTGTCACCTCCCAATAAAATAGAATTGATAATGTTCTTTTTTTTTCACGACTCCTTTGATGGATTTGGGCACTCGGACCGTGCGTCTGCGTTGCCACGCTGCTGTCGGTGTTAATGATGCCCCCATCCCATGGGCGTCGCGGGGGGGGGGGGGGGGGGGGGGGGGGGCAAGGGGGCCCCCAGAAAAGCCCCCCCCCCCCCCCCCAAAAAAAAGGCGCGAAGTCATAGTGGTGTAAATTTAATGGGGTGGGGGGGGGCAAAACCCCCCTCTAAAACTGATAAATCGAGAATGTTGAGAAATACAGGCATTTTTTGGCAAAAATATGTTTTGCCCCCCTCTAGAAAAAATCCTGGCGACGCCCATGCCCCTTTTCCCGTAAAAACATCCAAAGCTAACACCTCAGTCCGTAAAACCATAGGATGTGCATATTTGGAAATTATTCTCTTGTTATTATTCTTCTTCTAACTATTCATGGTTTGTTTAAATTCAGCTTGTTTGCCAAAGGCAAAATTGCAGTGAATTCACAATGAGTGATAAAAGTTAACGATAAAAAGTTAAGCTTCATTAAAAAAACATTACAATAGATTAAACGTGGACAGAATCATTGCACAATTTCAAAAAATTACACACGTACACAAGAATTAAAAGGGTTGTCAAAGACAAAACATGCAATGATTAAAAAAAGAAATGGGGATACACAAAAAAACACAAGACAAATCTTATTGCACAAAATTACAGAGGTGAAGTATCGAATTGTTACAGACAGTTTTTCTTCAGTAGTTGAACCATGAATAGAATTGCACTGTTAGAAATACACTCAAAAACATATCCGGTACTTAAAATGTTGCCAAAGACGAAACATCTTGTAGTCATCTTGTGATCTTGATCTTAGCAACGCTGATTCGGTTATGCTTGTGTAGTTGTTCAAAGATGTAGTCCATCATTTGTAAATTCTGCATTTTGTTCGTTTGAAGCAACAAGTGTTCAAAATCTAATGAAGGATACTAAACAACTAACCTGATGAACTTTCAGCTCAGCTTCAGCTGTATATTCCGAGAAAAACAGCATTCTAGGATCTCAATTTTAAATCAAAAGTTGCTGAATCATATTGAATTGTTTTGAATTGCAGCTATACGCGATGTCGCGCACTGATCCGACGAATTATAGCAACCGCGCCCCCCTGTGCGTCGTGCCAATGCTTGCGCGCGCTGCGCCGAATAACAAAACGAACTACTAATTTAAATTTTCCTACGGTGCGTCTTAAGATGCACCGTTGGAAAGGCCTTCTTTCGTTGATTACTTTAAAATGACAGCTTGCCAGAAAGAATAATTTCACAGGGAGTTTAGTCCCCTTACTATCTTTCAACCAAGTATGTTTTTCAACAATAATACGTCAGTTACTTTTTCCGATGGCTGCAAATGATGGACTATAGCTTTAAAGAAATCTAAAAGAAACTAAACATTTGTATTCTCAAGGCCAACAGGTAGAATGGTGCAGAAAGTGAGCATTTCCAAAGTTTGGTTGATTTTCCAAATTTTGTAAGACGTCATGCAGTCCCGACGTTTCCGCGCAGTTTATAGTGTATTAAAAAAAAGTTGAGAAGTCATGCTGAAGGATCGACTGTGCACTTTTTGGACACAGTTCATCCGTGAACGATGTGGCGACGAACACCTGAGGCTGACACAGGGACAGCCCGAATATTTTCTCTGGCTTGTATATTGTGTGAACAAAAATACCAATTCAATTCAAAACACTGTGTATGGGTGAAGCATTAGGTTTATCATAATACCGTTTGGTATTCGAGGGCTTTTGTCTGAGTATGGGACACTTTGCCAAGTCACTTTTGCGTGAGAAATGCAAACAGTGGGGGGGGGGGGGAGTGTCCAACACCGACTCACTTGTTACCGTCACAACCGCACATAGTTGCACCGGCTCCACACCCCACAGAGAAATTGGCTAAACCTTGAACAGTTTAAGAGTACGGATTTCAGTGGGATGCAGTTGAGGCAGGAATTTGCGTTTTGGTACCCATGATTGTGTAGCCCATACCTCTGACAAGACATAGTATTAAACACGATGATATTTTTTATGAGTTATGAACCGAAAGTTCACACTGTAATGGTTATGGCAGTGGATTTACCCAAATTGGGGCATGGCAAGCATGAACATGTACAAATAAGGGACAAAAAAGCAAATTACCACAATATGAAAAGTTATGGTAACTTCAAAGTAGCTTCTGACAATATTGTGACGCCGCTGCTTGCTCACAATAATGTAAAAACGAATCAGGCTAAAACCCACAACACACCAGAAACATAATAGAAATTGCAATACAAAGTCTGAAAATAACAGTCAATGGACACAAAGATACATTTTAGGGATTTCAAGGCCCTTTGCGTAGTGTCTTTTTCAAATTTGGGGATAACCTCCAGGGGGGCTGGGCCACTGGGCATTGAGAAAAAAATACTAGGCCTTCTACGTTTGTACTGACTTATTATAAAAGCAAAACCTCAGTAATCCATTTAGAGCACTGACAATGCTTCTTTCGTGCTCACTGTGCGGCAGCTTTAAAGTGTGCTCCATTGTAGCCTCCTTGGGCTAAAATAGATTTTAAAAGGCGCCCAGGCGAATCCAATTTGGGGAGGTGGTTTGGGTGGCCACCCCCCCCCCCCGCGCACACACCCAGACCGTCACAGACTTTAATCTAAGCAGTGGCTCTTGGGCCGCCAAAAAAAACCGAAAATTTTGCCGAAAAACACAGCAAATACCTGCTAAACCCTCTCTTGGCTGTTAACCACCCCCACTTCATCCAAACCTGGATCTGCCCCCGAGTATGTTATGCGTTGACTGTGACGCCTCATCATGCACCCCCCCCCCTCTCCCACTTGAAATATCCTGGATTTCAATAACCCAACAAAACTTCATTGTGAAATCCTGTGTATGCCACTGAGTGGCACTTGCCTTTGTTAAGCGGGAAGTATTCCTATGTAGGCCTACCCGGTTGCTATCCGTTCAATCCTATTGCGAGATACAAGCCTTCTATACAGCGGCATATGGAAGCATGGAGCTTTACAAGTACACAGGAAAGGTAGCCCGAGTATCATCCGTTGTCCAACCGTGGAGATCATGACCATGGACTAGTGTTCCTTCCTCCATGGTCAAACGGAGCCCTCATGGTCAAACGGAGCCCTCTGTGTCGTTGCTGCACAAGGGACTATTACATAGACGTAGGATTTAAGATAGGGGACATTTCCCAAAACTGTGTTGTTTTAAGTTAAACTCAGTTCGCTTAGTTCGTATAATTATTTTGTTTGTCTGCAATTCTGTCGGTTCACATTGAATCAATTCTCCCCTCCATATGGCCAAACGAACAAGAGATTTGGAGTCGCACACCAGATGTTTATTTCAATTGTCGTGCATGATTTTTTAGTCATATGTATTCTGAAAAGGCTTATAATATACACTGCAAAAAAAAAATGATCGGATTTAGCCCAACAGTTTACCCAACGTTGGTACAATAGTCAACATCCACTTCGTTCGAGCGAAAAATGCCTAACGGCCGTTGGGCAAACACGTTTACCTAAAAACTGGGTAAAATTACAGACGGAACAGTTGGGTACTTTTAATCATCCGTTAGTTGGGTAAATGTAAAAAAACAACCAATTGTTCGTAAGCCATTAACCGGAAAATTGTCAATATTTTTTGACAAGTTGTTGGCTAGTATTTTCTATATTGTATAGGTTTGTTAGATTTTACGGCCATTTTGTTTGCCAATGGTTGGTGTTTGCGGAATGCTTGAATAAGGGATACCTTTAAAACGAGGCTTTTTTTGATATTTTAGTACAAACATCATCATCAAACAGCAAACTTTTAAACACTTTTGAAATCGCAACTTTAGAACATCTTCACCTAAATCGCCCGTGCAAAATGTGTGATGAAAATGGCGGACGAGACATTTAATGGGCCGAATTCATAAAAACTAGTAATTGCTAATAAGCAGAGGCACCGAGCAAAAGCAAAAGTTCATCAAGCAGAAGCCGAAGCAAAAGCAATTGCTTAAAAACGTATAAATAACCATTTGCTTTGACTAGTTGCTTTTTCTCAAGCTAGCCCAGCAATTGCTTGTAGGTTCTATAAAGCGCTATTCACGTGCGATGAGGCATGCGTAAATGTGAAGTTGTTTTTTTTAGAAGCAGATTGGCTTTACCCACACAATTTCCAAAATGGCTGCATGATCAAACTGTTGTCAAATATGATCAACAAGTGAGTGCAGTTTTGGTCAAAATCATCCAAAGATGAGAGGTCAAGCTACCATGTGGGGATCTTGTAACACTACAAGCAATTGCCTAATAACACAAGCAAAAGGTTGTTGTTATGTATACGTTTTTAGGCAATTGCTAATTCAGGTGGCATTTGCTTGCAAGAAACAAGCTTTTGCTTTTGCTTAAAACTAGAAACTTTTGCTTGCTAGCAACTGCTTATTTTTATGTATGAAGATGTAAGCAAAAGCCTAGAATAAGCAATTGCTAGTTTTTATGAATTCGGCCCAATCTATTGTGTGGAACGGTCGCCATTGCAGACAACTCCGCGTGACGTCACACTTCTCGAAAAGAGTATAATATCCACTGAGCTGAAACTTCAACAGGTTAGGTTTTGGACATTCTTGGATGGGTTTTGAGTGGCGTTATTATTGGAAGCGAACGCAGAGGAGAGCAAATGATCGTAATATTATATATATACCTTTAATCTTATCAGTATTCAAGTATTATATTGTTGCTGTCGTGAGGGGCGGCCAAGTCCAAATAAAATTCACTCTTCAATAATACCGAACAATTCCTTGGTTCGTTGTTGAAGGCCTCATATTAGTTCTCAGTATAGCTGTGTGTTGACTTCTTTACCTCAGGTCTGCCA